GGGGGTACATCAACTCCTCTAGATATTTGCCTAGTTTTACAACAGGCTACATAAAAAACATTAGCGAAGTCAGTACAAACTAAAATTTCATACAGATAATGACTTGTTTATACTGCTCTATATACTACACACTGAAATGTAAGTACAATATTTATATTCCAATAGATTTTAGAATTCTATGGTAAAAATGAGAATGTAAGCAGTTTTTCAGTGCTGTGACACTTTTTTGTATTTTTATGTCTGTTTTTGTAAGCAAGTAGTTTTTAAATGAGGTGAAACTTGGGGGTACACCAGAGAAATTAAACCCCTGAAAGGGATACAGTAGTCTGGAAGGTTGAGAGCCACTGTAATAACAATGTGCTGCCATCTGGTGGATTAGAATTCAAGAGTCTGACTTGGTAGAGCTGGGAGCATTCTGTATTACTGCAAGAGGCCCCCACTCCCCACCAATTCAAAAGAAGTGCTGACAGGCTCAAGAGAGCCATGTTCATCTTTTGCCTGGTGGGGCTATGACTACATTACCTTGAGAGTGAGTAATGCAAATTTAAAAAACAAAAAAGTGGGTGTGGAGTCCAAGAGGGGCTTGATGGACTAATGGGAAAGGGTCTGTTACCACAGTCGGAACTATAGTGCTAGCAGTCAGTGCTAGCATGCAAGCTCCCTGCCTCGCTATCTGGCACACCTTAACTGATTCCTGTACCTGGCTCTGCGTATGGTCAGTACGCCCAAACCGACTTCTGCTATCTCATTTATCAGCTGTTGGATCTGTGCATGTGGGTGGTGGATGGACACTGACTTGGCTCCCTGCTCCCACCTTGCCCCTGGGTCTGGAATGGACAGGTGGTTTTTTATTTTTATTTTTTAATTAAAAATAAATAAATAAAAATTAAAATGACAGATTAAAGATGCAGTTCTCTTGCATTAAACTCCATTGCAGCTCCATAGGAATAGTGAGAAAATACTCAGTTCTTCCCTACCAAGTAAACTCAGTACCAGAGAGTAAGGTTTAATTGATTGGTTTTCCTCATCATAAATGATATTTCACTATTTTGTGTGTGTGTGTGGGGGGGGGGTTTTGGTGATGCAGGCCTGAGAACCATTGGTGTAATCACAAAACTGGATTTGATGGATGAAGGAACTGATGCAACAGAGATTCTGGAGAACAAGTTGCTCCCTCTTCGTAGAGGTAAGAATATTAAACTCCCATGTACCAATTGCTTCTGTAGCAAAGTGGTGATGAGGAAGGTAGACATTTGGTAAATTAACAGAAGATTGGTTTTAATGGAGTGCTCGGTTAGAAAATCTCTGCGGCTGACCTTCAGATTACAGTAGAGATTGTGCTCATAGCCTTTGTCATCCCGCTAAGCTGTGAAAAAGTAAATGTAAGAGGAGATAGTGCCCAAAATACACAATGGAGGGGGGGGGGGAAATCAACTAAGACCTCAGAACAGGCTGGATGAGGTGTAATGAGAAATATGAGTGTAAGTTACCTGCAAATTTCCTTTTCTGTGACAATTTCTGTTGTTCCTCGCAATGTGTGGGAGTGCCTTGATGCAGTCTGGAAGCAGCCACTGGATCTTTGATAATGTCATTGCAGTCTAAGCTCTGCCCCTTTCCAAAAGCTTTTCAGATGATCGTTTATAGAGCTAGAGAGACATGTTCATTTCCACCATTAAAATAATACTAAAGTAATATTGAAATCTAACCCAGTTTCACCAGGTAGATCAGTCCCCTTTTTTCTTTTCTCAACACCCCAGAAAACAAACCAGCCAGAGAGGGATCAGACCAGAAGACAGGAAAGTCAATATCAAGACCTCCTATTTTCTTATCCTGTTTGTTACCCTTCTGCCACATCCTCCTCTTATTCCTCTGTGGCGTGCAAGTCACACTTGTTTTGCACATCCCTTGGAATGCCAAATCAGTGCAAGTGATATTTTCTCCCCATTTAAACCTGCTTTCTGACCATCTTACCCCCAATATTTAACTTACACCACCATTTCAGTCATCACTGAATTTGAATCAGTGACTTCCATGGAAGGTGTGCCCACATACGCTAAGACAAGCTAGCATGTACACTGCACTGTGAGGAATAACAGCATTGAATTACAGAGTTGTTTTGATCTCGTTTTAGGGTATATTGGAGTTGTAAACAGAAGTCAGAAAGACATTGATGGGAAGAAGGATATTAAGGCAGCCATGCTGGCAGAAAGGAAATTCTTCCTTTCCCATCCAGCTTACAGGCATATGGCAGACCGGATGGGAACACCATATCTGCAGAAAGTTCTAAATCAGGTACAAGCAAATGTGAAAAAGCGTGTGTGTGTGTGTGTGTGTGTGTGTACAGGACCAGTAAAAAATGCTGTATTAAAATCACTGAATCAGGTGCATTTGCAACATTCTTTCCTGTTTATAACACTGTATTTTCCCCAACATATCACAGGCAAAACAGTGCATTATGTATGAAACTCACTGCAAAGAGTACAGGAATCAATCTCCCCCGCCGCCTTGCCAGTGTATTGCAGGAGTCATTCCGTTGAAGTCAGTGGAGTTTAAATCATTGTGCTAGACATACATTACCAAGAATGGTGACCCTTTTGTTTAAATTCATTCCCACCTCTTTCATGTTACTCTCAAGCATCAGAACATCACTTGGCCTCATTATACTGACCTCTGGTTTTTTAAGCGGCCTAGCTTGAAAACATGACTCATATCACATTGTCTGATTTAAAGTTCCCAAAGAAGAAAACTCTAGGCAGTCCATCTGACCCTAGATAAAGGACGCATTTGCCGGTCTCCCTCAATGTGTTACTTCAGGTTAAGGATTAGATTATGGCACTAGCCACAACTGTGTGTAAGGGGTAATATGGAGCTAGAAGCTACCCCAAGGAGGGCTGGGGTGAGTTGGGGGGGGTTGGAATTATCCCCCCAGGAGACACAGTTGCTCCATGGAACACATTGGGTGCTCATGCTGCACCTTTGTTTGGTCTCTGGGGCAGTGAATAGGGGTGCAGGGTCTTAGCTCTGTCTCCTCATCTCCATTGAGGTGATTTGTGACCCCAAGGGAACACAGAACAGTTCTTGTGATTGGTTGAAGTCTCTAATGAATATCCCCTGGAGAACAGCATGGTAGATCACACCTTCCTCCAGCTGGGAAATTAGAGGCTGATCCATTTGTCACTCACCTGAACAAGAAACTATCAATGTACTATTCTGCCAAGGGATACTTTTTCTATCCACAGTGGAGGGGAGTCTGGAAACCGTTTACCACTACTTCTGGTAGCAAAGGTACCGACCAAGCTCGGGGGGGCCAAGGGTTGACTGAACTTGATAACCTTCTTTTGGCTGAGACAGATGGTTCTCAGCCCAGCTGTGGATGATATTGGCTTATCCAATGGAATGGGAACCAGGCAGTCTTTTGATAGTGTAAAATTCCAGAGGCATGATGTTTCTTAGCAAATGTCTCAAGTCTTCCTGGTTTATCTGAAAGAGTCTACTAAAAGGGTTTAAAATCATAAAGGTGTGTTATTTGGTGTGCGTGGCCCCACATGGATCCCTTTATAACTGGTCACTTCCTCCGGGCCCCATCCTTCCCTTTCCCCAAAAATTCAACCAAACTAATTGTCTGCTAGATTTAAAGACAGATTCCATTCATGTTCATTTTGGCAATTCTCTTGGACTGCCATGAATTTGTTGAAAGGTAAACTAAGTCTCTCTTCAGCAACTTGTTATCGGGCTAATGTGGGCATATTGAATTTGACATCCCCTATTTAAAAAGTCTTGTGTTGTTGGATATTAATATAACCCTGACAAAACTGATTGTGCCTCTTTTTGAGCAACACATTTCCTACAAGCTCAAATTTCCTATATTGGCTTGTTTACCTAAGAGGCATAGACATGGAAATATACATTAAGCATAGGAATGGAAATAACCTTGAGAAAGTTAAGGAAGAATAGTGAAGGGTCATCATAGTAGGGGACGACCAGCGATGAGATAGATGAATAGTCACTGGAAGGTTAGCTGCTGAGAGTTCCAAGTTAGTGATGGATCGTGAAGGCTTCTGAAAATTCTGCTATGATGTCACTGATATTCAGGCATGAATAAATTGATTTATTACTTGCTTAATTCTGTTGGCTTGTAGCGGGTGAGTGAACTACAGATTCTAGTGACTGATCAACCTCATACCAAGTTTGAAAAGGATAAGATGATGCTCTGAATGCATCTCTAAATTCCTTATTGAAAGTAGTGTCAAAGTTCCAACTTAATGAGCTGATCATCTTGCCAATGTTCTTCCCACTTCTGCTTGCTCATCTTGTTGAAACTTTTACCAGGTTTAGTGTCACAAGGTTCTTGGCTCTTTATTTAGAGAAGAATAAGGGCCTTAGAAAGTCCACCTGGTTCTTTGTTTCCTTTGACTTCAGTTAACAGGTGCCAATAACTGCTGCTATTTCCAAGAGGAACAAGAATAAATCGCTGGCATTTCTCACTACAGTGACTTGGCAGGCCTGCAATCTGATGGCTGTGTTGAGGCATGTTCTGTTTGAGTTAGAGCAACCTCTAGAGAGGAATACCAGGTCAGTTTATCTGTGATACAAAGCTTATTTCTGAGACAGGGTGGCAGAACTCTCATGCATCGTACAGGTTTGCTTTTGTTTGGAATGTTTTTGTTTTGGTCACTTTTGGGGGTTTATTTTAGGTTAAAATAGTTAAACTTCTCATTATTGTAGGGAGGTGTCTTATCACTTCCAAATTACTTTAATTTACTTAGACGAATTTTAATTAATTACTGGTGAGTTGGCTACTTTACAAAAACACAGTCTGCTATGCCCATCGGTATTCATTGTTGGACTTCTGTGGGGTTTTCTTTGAATGGACGGGGTTATGCTATAGAGATCCATATAAGTACCATTCATATGAAGCATGTTGTTATTACACGTGCTGGTGCCTGTGCTTATCTGATTGAAATTTAAATGTCTCTGGATCCACAAGGTGGTGCTCAAATGAAACTCCAGAGTGTGATTCTATGGGGAAAATAGCTCATTGAACTCTGTTTACAGGTTTTTCTGAACAATAATTTATTCCTGGTTTGTTTTAGAGGGAGAAATAATAGAGGATTTATTTGTAACATAGATTAAAAAAAACCCTTTTGTCCTTAACCAATGAGCTGTGGTTATTTGTGTATGATCTGTTACATCTTTGTCCATTAAAAATGGAAGACCCTCCTCCCCCCCCCCCCATCACTTGGGCAAATAGGAAATGCACTAGTAACTTCTCTTGTTAGTAGCTTCTTCTGTTGGGCGTTTATAAAACTAGGACACTGAGATACAAAATCAAACCAAACTTGCACCTTTCCAAATTGCTAGATTTGGTGATGTTTGGAATGTGATGAGAGGTCAGTTAGTGTAAAGATGAAAACCAACTGAAGTAATTCTTGACCTTTGCCAGATATTGATTGGACGTTATATATAGCAACCACCTCCTACTTCCTGAATTTTTATCCATCTTTGTGCCCCTGAAGCCAGTGCACTTTACTTCGTGAATACAGTATCGTATTTATTTGTTTCATCGTTACTATTGACTTGTTTCAGACATGCCCCAAAACGCATTAAAATATTTTAAAAAATCATTCTTCTTACAGAGCATCCAAAATGTGCTTGGAACTGTACAAAACAGAAGTGGCCCATGGCCCAATGAGTTTACAGTCTAATTAGACATTGATAGTACAGGTCTTACCACAGTACATATGGAAACTATAAATGAGCAAAGGTCAGGCCTTCATGCAGTCAGTGAGTTTTGTTTATGAATTTGTTTTCCCCCTTTGCTTCCTGCTTTTCCACTCTCCAGTGCTTTCAGGATTACCAATGAAAGTCAAGATAAAGTGATATAAGGCAAGATTTTTTTTTCCATATAGCCGTTGGTACTAAAAGCAGCTAAACCGTATGTTAGAATGCTTTCTCTTCACCCTCTCTCCATGTTCTGTCTGCAGAAGTGTGAAGTGAAGACAATGTGATAGCTCTACACACTGGCAGAGTCTGTTTCCCAGTGTTCTGTTCCTAGCTCTGAGGCTGCAGAGCCTTGCCTGCATCCCCGTTCCCAATTCTCTCCTTCTCCTTCTTAGCAGGCCCAAATATAACTGCAATTCACACCTACAGTCACACTGGAAGGTAAGGAATGAGGTTGTGCTGCAGTCAGGGATGGGCATTTGTTTGTATTTTTTTTTTTAGTGTTTTATAGTCCGTCCCCCCCCCCAAGCCCCTTTGCCCCTCCTGACTGGTTGCTTGACTTTGCCTTGAGATAGGTAGGGCTACCATATGTCCGGATTTCCCTGGACATGTCCAGCTTTTTTGTCTATAAATAGCCATCCGGAGGGATTTCTAAAAATCTAAAAATGTCCGGGATTTCCCCCCGGTCGGCTATTTACAGACAGAAAAGCGGCAGCCAAGTGCCGCTCGGCAGCCAAAGCCCCTTCCCTGCTCCCCCCATCCCCTGCAGCCTTACCACGCCGTCCGGCCCCGCAGCTGTCTTCCCCCTCCTCTCCTCTCCTCCCCTGAACGCTCCGCCCCCCTGCTCCTCCCCCTCCCCTACTTCCTGCGAATCAGATCTTCACGGGAAGTCTGAAAAGAAGCAGGGGCAGGCGCGTGGCAGCAGCAGGTAAGCTGGGGCGGAGGCTTATTCCATTGGATAAGCCAATATCCCAGGCTAACAAACAGACCTATATACGAACACTGTAAAACAGTGGTGCCCGCTTTAGCCTGAGGGCCAAATGTTATCTTAAAAAGACCCAGAGGCTCCAGTCAATGTTGGGGCCGTTCCTTTGCCCTGTTCAGTTCTCTTTTCACAAAGGGAGAAGAAACCACCTACAAGTCTTCTGCTAGGGGACAGGGAGCTATAACTTGTGGCTGGTTCTCAGCTGCTTCTTTCTTTCTTTCTTTCGCTGCCCTGTGTGGAATAGGGGAGCAATCCTCAAATACACGCTGTCCTAGGTTCAGAAAGAGCCGATTGAGCAGCTATCCTGCTTTCCTTGAGCCTCCCACAGCCTGACAGGGAAGGGGTTGATGGAGCAGAGCTGCTCCCGGGGCTGTAGGAGAACGTGCCCCTTATTTCCTCGCTGTAATAACAAGGCTGATTCAAATACTATTTAAAAGTAGAGGGTGGGGTTCAAGGAATGTGGTTGTTTTTTTTCAGTATATACAAATACACATCATCTTAACACAGCTCTCCTCAAAGGCCCCAATTCAGAGACTTGAGGGCCGCACGTTGGATACCAGTGCTGTATATATGGGTAAATAATGCAATAGAGACTCTCCAATAGTACAGATATGGCCTTCTGGGAGAAAACATTTCAGTAGAGTAGCCAGGATTTACCATATTGTCCTAGGAGCAATTTGTGCATTTCCAAAACCCTCTGGTAGGGTTGGAGGTGGCTAGAAAGAACATGTTCAAGCTGTGGATGGATTTGAGCCCTTTGACCATTACTTGAAGGGTCCATGTACGATAGAATCATAGAATATCAGGCTTGGAAGGGATCTCAGGAGGTCATCTAGTCCAACCCCCTGCTCAAAGCAGGACCAATGCCCAACTAAATCATCCCAGCCAGGGCTTTGTCAAGCCTGACGTTAAAAACCTCTAAGGAAGGAGATTCCACCACCTGCCTAGTGTTAGGTCTACACTGGCTGGGGGGGAGGGGGGGGAAGAGGTCGACCTAAGATATGCAACTTCCGCTACGTGAATAGCGTAGCTGAAGTCGGCGTATTTTAGGTCGATTTACCTGGCCATGAGGACAGCGGCAAGTCGACCATTGCCACTCCCTCGTCGACTCTGCTTCCGCCTCTTGCCACGGTGGAGTTCCGGAGTCGACGGCAGTGTGATCGGGGATAAATGGATCCCCGATAGATCGATCACTACCCGCCGATCCGGCTGGTAGTGTAGACGTACCCTTAATAACCCATTCCAGTGCTTCACAACCTTCCTGGTGAAAAAGTTTTTCCTAATATCCAACCTAAACCTCCCCCACTGCAACTTGAGACCATTACTCCTGGTTCTGTCATTTGCTACCACTGAGAACAGTCTAGATCTATCCTCTTTGGAACCCCCTTTCAGGTCATTGAAAGCAGCTATCAAATCCCCTCTCATTCTTCTCTTCTGCAGACTAAATAATCCCAGTTCCCTCAGCCTCTCCTCATAAGACATGTGCTCCACCCCCTAATCATTTTTGTTGCCCTCCGCTGGACTCTTTCCAATTTTTTCCACATCCTTCTTGTAGTGTGGGGCCCAAAACTGGACACAGTACTCCAGCTGAGGCCTCACCAATGCCGAATAGAGAGGAATGATCACATCCCTCAATCTGCTGGCAATGCTCCTACTTATACAGCCCAAAATGCCGTTAGCCTTCTTGGCAACAAGGGCACACTGTTGACTCATATCCAGCTTCTCATCCACAGTAACCCCTAGGTCCTTTTCTGCAGAACTGCAGCCTAGCCACTTGGTCCCTAGTCTGTTCATGGGATTCTTCCATCCTAAGTGCAAGATTCTGCACTTGTCCTTGTTGAACCTCATCAGATTTCTTTTGGCCCAATCCTCTAATTTGTCTAGGTCCCTCTGTATCTTATCCCTACCCTCCAGTGTATCTACCACTCCTTCCAGTTTAGTGTAATCTGCAAACTTGCTGAGAGTGCAATCCATGCCATCCTCCAGATCTTTAATGAAGATATTGAACAAAACTGGCCCCAGGACCGACCCTTGGGGCACTCCGCTTGATACCGGCTGCCAAGTAGACATGGAGCCATTGATCACTACCCGTTGAGCCCGATGATCTAGCCAGCTTTCTAGTCACCTTATAGTCCATTCATCCAGCCCATACTTCTTTAACTTGCTGGCAAGAATACTGTGGGAGACCATATCAAAAGCTTTGCTAAAGTCAAGGAATAACACATCCACTGCTTTCCCCTCATCCACAGAGCTAGTTATTTCATCATAGAAGGCAATTAGGTTAGTCAGGCATGACTTGCCGTTGCTGAAGCCATGCTGAATGTTCCTGATCCCTTTCCTCTCCTCGAAGAACTTCAAAATTGATTTCTTGAGGATCTGCTCCATGATTTTTCCAGGGACTGAGGTGAGGCTGACTGGCCTGTAGTTCCCTGAATCATCCTCCTTTCCTTTTTAAAAGTAGTAGTGTCGCTAGAGCTGCTAGGTTTGTTGTCCCCGACAACTGGATGGGACATCAGTCTGTGGCTTAGTCCCCATGAGTCACACTTCCTTTAAAAGGGGAAGTGGAGCAAAGAGCAGAGGCCCTAGGTAAAATGGAAGAGTTGGAAAACTGAGGGTCTGCTGTGTGCCTGAGAGAGTAGGCCACAGCAGTAGAGAAATCCTGCAAAGGGAGGAGAGGGGACAGCATTGGTTGATTGTATAAGTGGCATTCTGAAAGGGTTAGAACTTAATGTGGAACCGTGCCGCTATCAATTAACTATGCCTGGCTTTTGTTGGTGTAGCTGAGCAAGTATTTTTTACCAAGCCTCACTTTATTGCTCAACTGAGTGTGTGTGTGGGGGGGGGGAGGGATGTCAGGTAATTTTTCAAGCCCTGATTATAGTATGTGTACAAGAAAAGAGGCTCTTGTATTGCCTGTGGGTATACCTGTCACTTCAAAGATCAACATGAATTCCATTGGAAAGCCTAGCACAGGTCATATTTTCTTGTGTGTGGTTATCAAAGGGAATGGGCTATATCCTTTCCATCCATCTGTCTTCCCAGTGTTTAAAGAATTCATTTTATTTTGTAGCAACTCACCAATCACATTCGAGATACACTGCCAGCCTTCAGGAGCAAACTTCAAAGCCAGCTGCTTTCTATAGAGCATGAAGTAGAGGTATATAAAAACTTTAAACCAGAAGATCCGACTAGAAAGACTAAAGCCTTACTGCAGTGAGTGTCCACTTCCTCCTCTCTGTATGTAAAATAGTTTCTCTCTTGTTTAAACTTAAAGCTTAGGATGTTGATGTTTCCCAGTAAAAGGCAGATGCAGAAGGACACTTATATACTCTGCAAACTCCAAAGAGGTTATTGTGGCTGAAAGAATTATAACATTTTTAGCCACTTTCCATTTTAGAAAGATTTTTCCATAATTCGTTTTAATAGTCATATAAGAATATGCTGGGCTGGATGAAAATCTTTTTGTTTTGTCCTACGCTGAGCATTATAATCTTGGGCTGTGGTTTGTGTACTCTGCGCTAAACTGGAACCCCCTGGAATGCCCGGTGTGGTTCAGGGAACCTTTTCTCGCTTTTTAATCAAAAATACACGTTTTCTTAACATAGTTGTCTTTGCGTCAACTGCTGTTTATTATCATAGGGTTCCCTCATGGGACTCTATGTTCAGTATGAGTGCCAATCTATCTGGACATTTATATCAAGCCATACATAAAATCTAATTAAAAATAGCTGGTGTTTTTAAGAGAGTAAGCAGTATACATTTATAAAAAGACTTGAAAAACCTTATACTTGCTTGTGTCCGTTAGGAGTGGAGAAGGACATGTAGGTACCACTGTTAACCCTAGAAATATCATTCATTGGTAATAAATACAGTGAAATAAAAACGATATGAAAAGCTTAGCTTACGCATTGTTGAGTTTGTTTCTGTTTTGAACTTTAAGGATGGTTCAACAGTTCTCAGTGGACTTTGAAAAAAGAATTGAAGGATCAGGGGATCAAGTTGACACATTAGAACTATCTGGTGGTGCCAAAATCAATCGTATTTTCCATGAACGTTTTCCTTTTGAACTAGTAAAGGTATGTGTCTGTCTTTCTTCCTTGCTTTGAGTTGTTTTTATATTTTCATATTCATATTTATAGTGGCAGTGAAGTTACATTTCCTTTTGAAGGTGTTCTAACAGGAAAACGCTTAATCAGAAGGAGTAAATTACACAAAAGGGCAGAATTATCACCAATACATAGGAATGAAGTTTATTTTTATTTCTGGTTATGAACACCAAGTCATAATCTGAGATTGTTATTGTATGCAATATTCAAAACTCAGTCATAATTCTACATTATTTTAAAATGGCTCAAATGTTTGCTTTCTGTGGCTTTAGAAAAACATTTCCCCCTTTGATCCCTAATTTCTCAATTTCATTTCCAGTATTCTTCCAAATTTGTAATGAATCAATCTTATTTTGTAACCAATATCTTTGTAACTACATGTTTTCTTGTACTTACCTTGCAAAATTAGTCTTGGTAGAATTCAGCTGTTACATGTGAAATCTTACATTTCTCTTTCTGCATGGACTAATGTCAAAACTAGTGGTCATGTTTTGATATTTATTCATGTCTGTCTCTTTTCCCCAGCTCTTACTATTTTCCCTACCTTTTCCATTGTTCTATCACTGTTGGCTGCTCTCCTCATCTTCTTTCTGGATAGATGGGGCAGGTAAACAACTGCCTCTGATGTAACTCAGATTCTCTTCTTAGTGATGAGTACTTAGGTACCTTTTTAAAATTAGATCTGTGGAAAATAGCTATTAGTTTCGAGCTTTTTTTTTGCCAGTTTGGTTTAGGGTGCAAAACATGCAAGCATTCATCCAAAGATTGTAAAAAAATGCAGGTTTTGTGTTAGAAAACTTTTTCTGCCTGAGACACCTTCTCTGCTCTTCTGCCAGTCCTACAGATAAGCCGTGTGTGTGTGTATCAGACTAACAGAATTTTAAAAATTAAATAAATGAAACACATTTCTCCTAAGGTGACCATCCCCAAATCCTACCATGAGTGTGTTTTGTAAACCCTGGTCTCTCTGGTTGTCTAGTAAGATGTTCTGCAGAATTGTTAAAAGCATTTGTGTATAATATGATTTTTATCCTTTGGTTCCTCTAGATGGAATTCAATGAGAAAGAACTGCGGAGAGAAATAAGCTATGCAATCAAAAACATACATGGTATCAGGCAAGTGCTTCCTATTTCTCCAGGTTCAGACACATCTACAGAAAGCATAATCTTGTTAATCCATAAACACACTCATCACCTTCTCATCTGCCCGGCAGTTGATATATCTCATGCCTGCATTTTTAGCATAGCCATGAGAGTGGTGGCTCTCATGTCCACTAATTTGCATGGAGAGTCCATAAGTCCCAGACAAATTTGGAGATTCCATAAGTCCCAGACAAATTTGGTGAGATCATATACAGAGCAAGTCAACACTGTTCTGGTTGTGCTGATCGCTGCTGTTAGAGCACCCACATATAAGACAAGATTTTTATGCAGCACCATGGCTGATGGAATTGGTTGATTGATGGATTGAAGGCACAAAATTCAGAAAAGAGAATGATTCTCAATCATTTCTTTGCTTGGCTTTAGTTGCCTACCATATACATTCTATATCGAATGCAAAAACTATATGAAATGGACACTTCTGGGTTCAACCCAGGCCAGTAAGGGGTTGTCACCACGTGCCCTGTAACCATGGGTGCCTCTGTGCTGTGCAGCTGTGGCTCGGAGCCCTGATACCTGCAGCGGACTCACAGCACAGTAGCCTCTCCGTGGCTTTCACCAGCCTGGTTACTCCTTGAAGGGTAACACCAATAGCCCTTGTAGCCATGTTTCCCCCAAACAGGTTTCCCTGTAGTATCCAGTCCCTCCCACTAGAACATTCACAAAACCTTATCAAGTTCTCCTCTCCTTTAAAGAGACAGTAGACAGCAGTCTATTAGCTTACCTGAGGTTCACACCTTCCCCTTCAATCACAGCACTGAGTTGGTTTATAGTGAAAGTAAAACCACTTTATTAATAAAAGGACATGGGTTTAAGAGTTATCAAGTAGAAGGAATAAGCATAGGAATGATCACAAACAAACAAAAGTGAAAATATGCTATTAAGACAGAAACTCAACAAACTAGAATCTTTTGTTCATATTCGTTTTTTCACCATAGTCCTTCTTCCAGCATAGTCCTTAGCCAGGATCCAAACACAGTTCACAGCACTTGGTTTCTTTGTGTCCGCAGGTGAAGGATGACGTAGTGGTTTACTCCCCCTTTCTTTATAGCCCAGTAAACCCTTGAAATGTATTCTTCTGAAGTGTACCTCCAGGTAAAGTTCCTTTCCCCTGCTGGGTGTAGACGCCATCCTGGCTTCTCCCCAGCTGGTGATTTTAACAATGCAAATGATCTTCCTGCAATCTCAAATTTGTAATCTGAACATTGCATTACATCATCCGCTTTCTGGAGTGTTCTGATCTACAGCAGGGTTGTGTGTGCTGTTCATGAATGCGGATGTATATGAGCAATTCTCAAAGGAAAGAAAAATAGGTTTTTTTTGTTTTTAAAGGAATGAAATTCTAATCAAAACAAAATGGTGTTAATGTTTTCTATCATTTACTTTTAAAAAGTCTAGGATAGCACTCGGGCTTATCACATATTGTGCCATCCCCACCCTCCATAGATTGGCATTATTGCTAAAGAAAAAGATAGTTTAGGTAAATATTTTGCTTCATTTTTACGGGCAGCCACTATAGGTTGAACATTTCTGTGACACATTGGCCCATTGGTGGTTCGCTACTCTGTCAGCAACTCTTGTCAGCCCTAGCATGCTCAGTGCACCTTAAATACTGTTGTCATGGTATTTATCCAAAGGTGGCATGTAAGAAATCATTGGAAAACTAGTAATATTCTTGCATGATGTATGTACATTTAATTACAAAACTTATACTCTACTTACATCATGCAAGAATATTAATGATCAGTGAATTATTATTTTTCTGATGATTTATTATAGCCCACTTTTTGGATAAATATTATGACAACGGTGGGTGAGGCTGCACTGAGCAAACATTAACAAGACCTTTAACACATTTTAGTTTTGATTAGAATTTCATTCCTTTAAAAAAAAATCCAAAAACTATTTTGTCTCCATAGAAAGCAGATAAGGTAATGCACGTGATCAGATTACAAACTTGATGCTGTTTGGAGCTTGGTATGTAGAAACTACTGAAACTCAGGGTTGTTAGAATTTGGGATGTTGATGCTGTTCCAGATGGATTGAGCATTTGCCACCAAAGGCTGGCCGTCAGAAGACGTAGGCATCATATGTTAAGGATTTCAGTGCAGGATTGGTTCAGCATTGGCACAGACACTGACACAAAGCTTGTCAAGCTTGTTTCACAGTATATCGTGGATGCTTTCTGGCTTTGCTCTGTTGAAGTATTCATATTTATGCCTCTTGAATCATGTTTTGATCATGGATCTCACCATTTTCCCAAGGTGCTGAAGCTCTCTAGGAAGATGAATTCTGGAGTATACAAATAAATATTTCCATATGTGTTCTACTTATTCCAGATTCTTCATCATTGCATATCTGTTCAGCCAGTGAAGGTTTCATATTTGCTAATTATGGGCAAAAATGAGCAAGTGCATCCAAAGGTATATAGGAGGATGGAAATCCAATGGCCAAGAGATTGCATAGGCTCTACTGGTACCTTTCTGCCAGGCCTTGTTGTATTATTGGGCTCCTTCCTGTTGATGGAAATTTGACACACTTCTATATATTTGTTTGTTACAACCCACACTACTCATGAAGTCTCAATATATCTACCTTTTAATTATGTTTATTGGTCTTATTAGTAAAGGAACATTCCAGTAATGCTTCCTGGGAACATGATTCACAGGGTTTAATTCTCTATGACCTTGTGTAGCTGACACTATCTTGGTCCACACACTGGGGATTGAACTGGGAAACTCCAGAGCTAAAGGCATGAACTGCTATAGTTTCAGCTAAAGATCTAAGACTGTAGCTGGGCATGTAACAATGTAGCCAAGGGCTGTAACAACTCATTTTCACAGTTTCAGGGTAGTTGCACCTCTGGGGCTGTTGAGGGCACCCATTTAATAGCTGGGAGCCAGAAACCTTTGCCTCTTTTGGGCTGAAACCCACAACTCTTTCCCTCTTGACTGGGCTTTAAGGCTGCACACAGGGCCATCCTTACCCATACGCAAAGTACGCAACTGTGTAGGGCACTAGGAAATTTGGTGCTGTGTGTGCTGTTCCAGTCCCTGCTCCGCCTCTTCCCCATGGCCCCCGCTCCGCCCCACCCCCACCCCCACTCCCATGAGGACTGAAGCAGGGCCGGGACGGCACTCACTGGCAGTGGGAAGTGCAGTGGCCTGGCCCCAGCCATGCTGCAGGTGAGTGCTGGGGGGTGGTTCCCCCCTGTGTCCCAAGCAGCCCCCCTCCCCCATGGAGGCCTGGGGCCAGCTCGCCCCACCCCGCCACGGAGGCCTGCCTCCCCCCCACAGGGGGGCTGCGTAGGGCCCCAGAATAGCTAGGGACGACCCTGGCTGCACAGCTCCCTGCCTTACACTGTGATATCCCCAGCAAGCCAGCCTGCCTCAATAGGCCAGCATCTGCACTTTGCTTGTTACCAGAGGGCTCTGAAGAGTATAATTGCCAGCAGTTCCAAGTTACCATACAGCTCTTTCCATGCAATCACACTTATTCTTCAGATAAAGGCATTACAGAGAAAACATATATTTTAAAACAACATTGCTGTATACATGCCAACAGCTTATCATCAGTCTTACGGGGTCCCAGTAGGACAAAGTCCTCTCAACTCTTCTGCAAGGCTTGGGGTCCCCCTTGGACAGCAGGTCATTTCTGTTTGCTGGAAGAAGGCCCTGAGTCAGTTTAAGTTTGGCCTGTTTATCCAAAATTCCTTCCTTTTTGTCTTTTGGTCTATGAGTATCCAGTTTGCACTAGTGTAACCCTTCTGCCAGGTAAAGCCAGCAGCAACAAGGGCCAGGTTCAGTATCTTGGGGTTCTTTCAACAATACAACATAAAACTGGCATGAGCCCCAACCCAGTGACCTGGGACAACTGCACACCACTCTCTGGGTGCCTCTAAGAGGCAAAACTTCCCCTCTCGTAAAGCACAGAGTCTGAGTGTAGCAAAAACTTTTAATAAAAGGAGGGAATTAACTCAGCATGAATTTGGGAACACACCGCAACTAGGGCTCATAAACACAAACCATGAGCAAAAGACCCACCCCCAAGTAAGTTGGCAGTGTCCTTTTCCCCTCAGGGTCTTAAGTCCAGCAACCCACAAGTCCCTTTAATGTGCCCGTCGCTTCTCTGTATGCCACTCACAGTTGCTGTCCTTGGCCAGTGCAGCCCCAGAGTTCAGAGGTTCATCTGCAAAGTTCACCTCCCACCCTGTGTGGAAGGCAGGGTGGTGGTGGTGGTAAGGCAGCACCTTACACGCTTCACTGCTCGGGCACTCCCTTGTTGCCCCAAGGGCTGATTGCCACGCCTCTGCAAGGCTCTGCTCTAGCCCTTTCCCCAACCGCTCTGCTGGTCGTGCCTCTCTGCCAGCTGCTCTGTGGGCCACTTGCCACGCCTCTGCACCAGCTGCTCACTTGCCACACTTAACACAGCTCTCTGTGATTTCAGCTGCTAGAATGGGAGCCTCACTGCTGGTGCACACTGGACAGTCTCTTGCAATAGAAACACTGTCCCAAAGTTGGTCTAATACTTAGACCTAGATATCAGTGATTTCAGCTCTGCAGTCTGTAATAAGATTCTCTATTGAGTCTAAATTAGCTCATTTATTATGCCATGGAGAGAGGAAGGGTCAAAGGGCATCTAGGACCCTTAAACAGGGCCCACGCTACCAGGTACAAGTACCTGTTCCTACCCTCTCTCAACTCATTGGTTTTGGAACCCATGTCCCCTGCCTACCGAGTGCTGTTCAGTTAGGGGTGAGTCCCTCCACTGGGGTATGCCAGGTACAGTTCTGCAGCCCTCGGTTCACACAACAAGGATAGCAACCCTTTATTATTCCTGCCCCAATAACAAGGAGACTGGGGATTTAACACCAGCCACAAGTGATCATTTGGGCAAGCAGTCCCATCATGCTGAGCCCCTAGGCAGGATCCGTGCAAATGAGATCAGCTTCTGAAATCTTTTTACACAGCTCACCACTACTATGAAGTAGAACAGAATCACACATAAACTGTTCATATAATACAGTGCAGCCCAATGATACTGCCAGATATGGGACCTTATTAAATTAAGGTAAGTTGCCATATCTGTCACACTCAGATCCTCTGCGGATCAGCACAAAGCAGGACTTGTAACAAGCTCATCAGTGGATTACACTTGTACTTACTAATATCTGTGCAGAGTGCAAATAAATTCCATTCAAACTTGGTAACTTTTTACACCCACATTGCACAGGGGTTAAGTCAAGACACCAGAGAGCCAGAATCAAAGTGTGTCACACATCTGCAATGAACTTGTTCTGCCGGCAGAGTACATTCCTAGGTCAACTAGATTACACAAATTCCCATTTACAACTTGCATTCTTTTTAAACTAGGTGAGACTTATAGCTACATTTCCCTGGCATTGGATAGAAGTTATTATTTCTAACTCCAGTTATCTGATGCTGTCAGAGCTTTACTAACTAGACAAAGTTCATTCCTATGTCTATTTACTGCATGAAGTTTCACCTTCATTATGTTTCTCTTTCAACTGTTACCCTAGATGCCTGCTGATGCCCCAAAGGACTATATAAATTCCTCTGGGACATACCATGGGAGCTTTCTAGTGAAGGTTATGACTTAGCATCCATCACCTGCTAAAAACTGCATAAACACATGATATTGCATTGCTTGTAAGGGGTTCTTATTTCTGTGAGCCTAATAGATGATTCTTTATTTAGGCTCAGAATGAGACCTGTGGAGTACTGGATGAGGACAATTTATTGGACTCTGAAAGATGGCTTTTAAACACTGATGACAATACCCTAAACCCTGCAGGACTCTGATGGTAGACAGTTCATAAAATGTTTCTGGAGTACAGTCCGTTGCTTGGCTCCTGTCAGCTGTGATTTTGATAGATGCCTCAGGTGTAAGTTGGGATGCCCACTTACACTGTCTCTAGGTACATGGGGTTTCAAAATCCATAGAGATCTAGGATTACAAATTTCTTGGAATCCAGAGCAATATGGATGGTAGGGGGAACTTTGTTTCCTTACATCCGTGACAAATCTGTACTGATTTTGACAGACATCACCACAGCCATGTATCATATGCACTAGTAGGGGGAGCTCATTCCTGTTGTTTGTGTCAAGAAACTGTCTAGCCTGAGGAAGTGGTGCATTCCATATCAAGTTGCACCTCTAGCTCTCTGTTTTTTTTCCATGCAAGAACATGGTCTTGGCAGACAGCCTCATTTTTAATTTATCAGCCCCATCATGAGGGGTTTTTCAAGTTTTTGGCCATGTCGATATTCCAAACTACAGGGATCCTTCAAAAAGCTCCCTTTGTCTTGAAGGAGAATTCATTGTGCCTTCAGTTTTTATTCTGTAGGAAATAGTGATCCAAAATCCTTGAACAGCTTTCTTCTAGCTTGGAGCCATACTCTGCTGTATCCCTTTATGCTTCAGCAATGGTACCGATTGCAAGAGTTCTGTCCTTTGTGGGCATGTCAGTATTTATATTTGGAGCTATTACCCCTGCCGCTGAAGCATCTAGTCTGCCTTTCAATTCTTCCACATCTGTTTTCACAGTATCAAAGTCAAATGCATTATCCAGGTCTGAGATTCCTAAATTTCATGGCTTACGATGTGGTGTATTGTGAAATTCTGATCTGGAGTCCTCTTAAGCTGTTAAGCGAATATTTCTGGAAAGTCATAAATCTTTGAGGAAAACCGATGCCTTAAAATGGAAAAGATTTTCAATTTGTGCTACTGACCAAGACTGTGCATCTTCCACTTCTTCAGTGCCTTGTATTGTTTGCTGTCTCTAAATGACCGATTTACCGAGGAGTTCAGCGTGGGTTCATTTTGTGGAAATATCTGTAACTTGTGTTTGGAGGAGGTGAAATACTTGGTTTGGGATGGGCATGGTTATCTTATATAGGGATGATTTGTCTGTTTTCAGATTAGTATTAGCACATAGTATTCCAGAGAGACACTTTATAAGAGAATGAGGACCAATATAATTGTCCAGCCAAGGATTATCCATATTTGCACATTCTACAGTGAAACAATTTCTGAAACAATTGCATGTTTTTTCCACCCACTTGAGAACAAATACTCTCCTTGAAATTAAATTTGATGATTTGATATCACTGTGGGAGCCCTTTGGAAAATATTCTTTACATCACCTGTACTTACAGCATTGCTAGAATGGGTGAGATCTAAGTCCTGATGGCTGAATTCCCTTAAAATAAAGATAATGTGATACCATCCTTTACCTGATCTTTATTTACCAGGACTTTTCTCTGAACCTTATAACTTACAGGGGAGGTAATGGTATATAGGCTAGGTCAGTGTTTCTCAAAGTGTTGGGTGTTCCTCTTTGGCATGGTGTGAAGGACAACTGTGCTTGAGAGAAGCATGAAAGTTGTATACATTAACACATGGCAGGGTAGTCAGGTGAACATGATTTATTTCATTTTCCTAAAGCAAGGCTCAGCTTTAGAAAGTTTGGGAAAACACTAGTCTAGATGTTAAAGAGCTCTTGGCTATGGCTTAGGTAGGACCAAACCCTTTTGTTAGTCTTCCATATTATTTGTAGCATAGGGAGTTAAATCCAGGGGCCCAGAGGTTGTTTCAGTGAATTAGAACCTGTAGGCAGATCTGCTGTGAGCTACTATGTGTCCCAGTACTTTGGGATCTAAAGTCAAGCTCCCCTTGATCCAAAGCCCTTTGCCCAACATATCTAAGAAAATATCTCCTTTGTGGACACTTCAGGCTGCTACCTTGAACTCAGTGCTTACATTTATAAAGCATTATTCTTGGCTTGTCAACTAGATGGGATGGTCAATTTGGGATAGCAGTCCTATGATCTTCACTTTTCTTTAGACCTATATCCTTAAAGGCTGTGTGACTTCTAGTTAATATCTCTTAAGTGGGGCTCTCTACAGGCAGTTTTTGAAGGAGAAATAAGGACTATTTGTCTGTTTAACTAGTTTTGTGAGATGTCAGTCTATATAGGTCCACATGCACCACTCAGGTGCCCTGCTTCTTCAGAGTCTTTGTAAAGGGTTTTGAATAGGTGGGAGAAGGACTTTTGATGTGTTTGGGGATGAAAGGAACTTGGATTATGGATTTTTATGTAACTCTATCCAAATGGTCAGTCCTGTGCGAGTGAGCAGTACCGCCAGTTGTCACTGCTTTTCGATGGTTTTGACTCTGTCTGCTGAAGGTACATGTGCATACCACAAGAGTAGCTTTACAGTATACTTGCCGTCAGCTTGATGAACCACAGTTGCAGGTTAAGTGGACTTTTTATTTTTTTCATTGACGCCACAATTTAAAAAATAATCACATTAATTTTCATATTAAATCTTCTGTTTAAAGACAGACCTAGTGAATGCTGTGCTAGGCCTTGTGTGTCATTTTCATCTGACTATTTTTATAGTTGGCCTGTCACTCCCTGAAAATGAAAATGTTGGCCAACAATTGCCCATACTGTAGCTGCATGAATGGTGGACCCCTAAGAGATAGTGACTGTGCACTCTCCCTCCATGCTAAACTATTAATTTGAATCTCTAATTCACCATTTTCTTAATCTACGCATCCCATAATTCACATGTAAAAACCCAGTGGTCTCATTCCATTTCTCAGTAATGGTTTAATAACAGAGACAGTGCTGTATTAAGGTCTAATATTACTAATACTTCATTACTTTTACAAAATAAACTACAGAGCATATGCTATGAGCTGTTATCATAACTGAACAGCACTTGTCAAATGAGTGCATCATGTTTGTTACTAATAAACATATGCTATATTTAGACATTTTAAGCTAGTCATTCATCTTGCAACTTGCAGAATCATTTTGTTTATATCATAATGATGTTTGTGACTCTGTTTTACATTCAATATAAAAAGTTGTATTCTTTTCCCTAAAGTCTTCCTTCAGTATCTTACATGTTTTATTATATGTCCACAGAACAGGTTTGTTTACTCCAGACATGGCCTTTGAGGCTATAGTTAAAAAACAGATAGTGAAGCTGAAAGGGCCTTGCTTAAAAAGCGTGGATCTGGTGATGCAAGAGTTAATCAACACTGTCAAGAAATGCACTAAAAAGGTAACTTCTGAATGGGTTCATTAATAGTTGAAGTGCACTTGTCAATCTAGTGTTATGGAAGATAATATAATGGGCAAGATGCTTTGCCATGTGGCTCTACACAGAAAAACGATGCAATGACATGAGATGGTATGGTTCTACATTTGTGTCTTAGTTGCTTTCTTATCCAGTTTACTCAGTTTACAAATAAAAAGTACTGTAATACTGAGCTTGGTTTCTGATGCTCAAAATGGCTTGTTTCTAGATCTTGCATCATCGCCAGCGTGGTTTGTTTTTTCAGAAAAAAAAAAAGTCAAGTGCTGGCCCCATTTTCACCTGTATAACCATATTGCTACAGTTGGTGTTGCATGGCTATTACTGAAGGCATAATATAGAGAAAATGGGATCAGATAGATGGCCCTGCAAATTAAACTCAATTAACATTTCTGTTGAGGCATAAGCCAGAGAAATCCAGCATTGGAAGTTGTCTTTGCAGCACGGGCAATAGGAAAAAGTAGTAGTCTTTCTTTTGTAGTAAGTAGATCAGATTCCAAATATATTCAGAGAGCAGTTCTGCTGAGTAAAAAGCATTTTTGCACAGAAACTTTTCAGAGTAGAACCGTACTTAAGTGTCCAAGTGGTGAAATACCCTCCTGTGCTGTTTCTCATATATGCAAATCCATACCTCATCATCACCAACTTTCAAGAGGCTACAAGGTAGAAACATGAGAAAATCCAATCTCCCCTTGATTTGCCCACACTTACCCCACTGGGAGTTATGCATGTGGGTGGAAGGATGAACTAGTCTGAAGAATTGCAGAACGCATGTAGGAAACAAATTGCATTGGAAAGAACTGTTGTGCAATTGGCTTCCCTAAAGTAAATAGTGTGTGTACTCAATAATGAAACATTAATTTAAGGTCCCAACAAGTATAGTAAAATGAGTATAGTATGAATGAGTATTCTGGCTGATTGGTCTGCATACAGTGTGTACCTGGGTTTATTTATACTTTTTAAAAAGAAAACCTTTTATTTTCCTATTGTGACTAAAAAGTTCAGGTTTTAGTGTGGAACTGAATTCAATATAGAAATCAGAAGTCAGTTGTATATGCCTTGGTTATAGGGGATAACATTTTCAAGTGTCAAAGTCTGATTTTTCAAAAGTGGCTTAGCCTCCTAAGTGCCTTGATCACTTGAAAACTACATATGATCAAAAATGGATCCACAGTGACCACCATTAACTGAAAATGGCTTAGGCCCCAGATAAGGCCAAAATGCTTTTAATAACAATGATGGAAAGCATGTGCGAGTCACAGTGGTGGGCTAGTCATCTGTCCTCATGTCTTAATCTTGGGAACATCGGAATTTTTGTACTGGATCAGACCAACGGTCCATCTCATCTAGTAGCTTGTCAGTACCAGATACTTCATAGTTTCTTCCTAGTCCCCACAGAGTTGGTGGGTTGATTTTTGCCTCTGAAATACTCTTGTGTTTATATTCCTTATAATTTGTTACCCAATCTCATAAACGTCTAATCCTCTTTAATCCTAAACTCTTAACCTCAATCTCCTGTGCCAGAACAATTATGTGTTTAAATGTTTCCTTTTAATCAGCTTTAAACGTGTGGCCTTTTTCATGTTCTCTTTTATACAATGAGAAGAGGGTAAATGGGAACTCTTAGTTTATTCTCCATATCATTCACTGGTTCTATACCTTTGCTATGCCCTCTCTTATTAGTCCCCTCATTAAACTATACGCTTCTTTAAAAAAATAAAAAAATTATTGGCTTTTAAAGAGCCCTAGTCTTTTAAACTTCCCCTCAGAAGGAAGTCTTTCTATGTTTCTAATCATTTTCAATGCCCTTCTCTAGAACCTGTCTATTTCTGCTAGATCCCTTTCTGAGATGGTAAGAACAGAACACAATATTCAAGGTAAGGGCAGGTTATCCATTTATTTAATGGCAGTATTACATTTTCAATACCCTCTGTTCCTTTCTTAATACAACCTAACTTCTTGTTTTGTTTTTTTAGACCTCCATTGCACATTCATTGGGTGTCTTCATTGTGCTATCCTCAGTGATTCCTGGATCTTCTTCCTAGGCAGTTATGGTTTAGATCCAACCATATGTGGGGGCTGTAAAGTGTTCCTTCCAATGTACATCACCTTACATTTCTTTTCCATGAATGTGATCTACAATAGTTTTGCCCAATGATCTACTTGGCGAGGACTTTCTGTAGTTCTTGGTCTTCTTTTGTCCTGACCAACATAAATCATGTCATTTGCAAATATTGTCATTTCACTGATTACTTTCTTGTACAGATCACTGATACCTATTTTAAACACTGCCAGTCCTCGTCTAGATTCTTTGGGCACCCCATGATTAGCATCTTTCTTTGATGAAAGCTGACAGTTTATTTCCTCTATTTGTTTTGTCTCTTAACCAGTTTATAATGATGACAGTTCTTTAGGTCAGTATGTTAGGTCCCTTAACAGTCTAAGGGATGTTATAAAAGGCTTTTTCAAACATGTAAATAAATAACTGTCTCTCCTTTATCCACTTTCTTATTGTCACTCTCAAAGATCAATAATTCTTTTTCAGAAACATGCTGTTTTGTCCCTATCCTATCCTGTGTCTGTTCATGTTTTATGCTATTATCTCTCTGATTTCAAACAATGTGCCTGGTAAGACATGCTGATCTGTAGCTTTCACAATCTTGTCTCTTTAAGAGAGAGACACAATGTTGGTTTCCTTATGGTCCTCTAATATAGCAGCTTATTTTTAATAGATTACATTTCCTCAGTAGCTTAGCTACTTCATTCTTATGTACCTTCAGAACTCTAGGTATACCATATGATCCTGGGGACTTATTTAATTTCACTTTCTTCCAGCACCTCTCTTTTGACATGTAAGTCTGACAGCGCTTCATCTTTATTACCTGAAAAGGGTAAGTCCGACATAAGTATTTCCCAACATACTCGATGCTGCAGACTGATGCACAGAAGTAGATGGGCAAAATTTTCAGAAGCACTTAAGACCAATTTTTCAGAAGCAACTCAGTCACCTTAGGAGATATCATTTTCTCTCAGGGGCTGCCCATCCATATAGGCGAACTAGGCAGTCACCTAGGATTCCAAGTTAAAGGGGGCACCAAATTCAAGGAAAAAAATTAAATAAAAAAAATAAAATAAAATGAAAAAATGAAAAAGATAAAAAAAAACAAATAAAATAACGAAGATGTCATTATTTCAATTCCCGTACGTGTACAGAGGGATTATGAATTATAATTCATCTCTCTACATTTCTGAGAATTTATTATGTCAAATCTTTTATTTACTGCAAAATAAATAATATTTTAGTGAAAATTTTTTTCAACTTGCGACATAGGGTCAAAATGACCCACTCTGCAATTTTGATAAGCAATAACTCAGCCACAATGAAACACATCCGCCAGCGGCAAGAGCTGCAATGCTAGTAACAGCCTAACTTGAATATACATCAAGGTTTCATAGTTGGAAATTCATGTAGAGCGGAGAGTCGGCATTGACTCATGAAAATTCAAAAGACATTGATGCTACAGATTTGTGTAGTGAGCTTCAGGCTTTTTCAAGATGACTTAAGAAATATGCCACTCCTGAAGAAGTACTGAAGTTTTATTGTGAAAATAAACTCTCAGACAGTTTTCCAAACATTTTTATAGCTCTACGCGTTCTTTTAACTTTGCCAGTTTCCGTAGCTACTGGGGAACATACCTTCTCAAAGTTAAAATTGATAAAAACATATCTGCACTCAACAATGGTACAAGAGAGACTTGTTGGCCTTGCCACAATGTCAATAGAGCATGAAATAGCTGGAAAACTGGATCAAAAAGAACTAGTGACTGAATTTTCAAAACTTAGAGCAAGGAAAGTCATGTTTTAAGAGCATCCAACCCCTCCTCTCATTCCTGATGGCCCCGGGACCCTTGCCCCCATTCATTCCCTCTGTTCCCTGCCCTCTGACTACCCCGACCCCATCCACCCCCCCGAACTCCCCTGCCCTCTATCCAACACCCCTCCCTGCTCCCTTACCGCGCTGCCTGGAGGTGGCTGGCGGCATTACAGCCATGCCGGGCCGTGCGGCTGGAGCTGGGCCGGGCTGAAGCTGTGGGGGAGGGGGAACAGTCGGCAGCTCAGGAGCCGGGCAGGAGAGTCTTGTGGGCCACCGTAGTGGGTGCCTGCCCCGCCCCTAAGAGCCAGAGGGACCTGCCGGGGGACAAGGTGGGGAGTCCCGGCAGTGCTTACCTGGGGCGGCTCCTGGAAAGCATAGGGCAGGTCCCTTTGGCTCGTAGGGGCAGGGTAGTGTAGCTGGGGGGGAGCAGGGGGTTACCTGCCGCGGCGCGTGGCCCTCCTTGCGCCCCCCGCCCCAGCTCACCTCTGCTCCATCTCCCTGAGCATGAAGCCGCCGTTTGCTTCTCAGCCCTCCCAGGCTTCCCGCGTGAACAGCTGATTAGCGGGGGAGGGGGAGAAGCTGGGTGGAGCATTCAGGGGACGAGGCGGAGGGTAACAACACTTTATTCTTCCTGCCCCAATAACAGAGAAATTGGGGATCCCACAGCAGCCAAAGTGACCATTTGGGCGGCTGTGAGCTCATGCTAGGCGGGGTGGGTGTGCCTATGCAAACAAGATCAGCCCCTGAAGTTCTTTTCCACAACTCACCACAATTCACTACCAGATGTCAGGGTAGAGCTCATCCTGACTCTGCTTACAAGTGAAAGATGGCATTGCAGGTATCCTCACCCAAAGGGCCAGCCTCTGTTTTAGATTAGGGTTAGCCAAGTCAATGTGCAAATGCAACTTCTGGTGTCCATAGCACTCAAACAGCAACTGGTGATCCCTTCTGAAATCCATTAATGTAATCATTCACCCATTCGTGGATCAGACAGTGAAGGAAATGTATGCTCATTCTTATGTTTCCTTTAACGAAATTGGCATAACAGCACACAAGAACCTGACTGCAGAAATATAAGAGTCTTTTATCAGCTTTTTCATATCTCTTGTCAAAGAGTCAGGGGCAGGATCTTCACCACCATCTGAAATCTTTGCTGGCCTAGAGATTTGGCTAATTGCTTTGGCTGATTGTTTGCAAGAACAATCATTCTTTAACACATCATTCTGGAAAATCATAGATATTTTTGATAATGACCTAACCAGAAAAAAGCAAAGATTTTCACTGTGAACTTCCAGCAAGATTACTGTTCTTTTGTTCCCTTCATTTTGGCCCATTTGGAACAGATAGACACATGTAATCAAACTGATGATAATGGAGTCTCCTATTGAGTTTGATGGATGAGTAACAGTCATTTATCATGGGTCTTGAGATGAGATCAATGATCATTTTTTGACTTACAGCCCTGTCCGCAAGTGCCACAGGTGAAAACACTTGAAGATGAATGTGCACTGCTTTTAGCTTTACATCGTGTACGTCTCTCCTTGGTTGCAGCAGTCCATAAGCTCTTGAAGTCTTCCAGTCCAAGGTGGCAGAGCTGCTGCCATTGGGTCCTATTGTGGGTTAAAGCTTTAAGGTATTTGAGGTGCTCATTGCAAGATTGGAGGTTGGCTTTCAAAGGGTCATTGTAATGCTTCCCTGGTTTGCCCCAAAATGAGTTCCAATCTCTAATTCTCCATAGAAGACAGCCTTTGGTATTGTATTCTCAGACATATGGGTCACATGACTGCACCATTTCAGCTGTGCTCTCACTATAAAAGCTTCAATGCCTACATAAATTATAAATATTTGTTACCAATTATACACTCTGGATTAGCCTGGAGTACAGTCATTCTATTTTGTAGCTATATCTGCATACCATCCTCCAATCCACTGATCTTTTAATACTTGCATTTTTTTAATACCTACTATTGTTAAAAGATCCTTGAAGAGACTGGTTCATGTCTTCCCACCTACTTATGAGACATTACCTTATTGGCACTGAAATCTAATACTGAGAATTGATGGAATTGTTATTTCAGTCTTTGAGAGAATGTTCCCAACTATCTACCTATCTCTGAAAATTGTATTACTTGTGGTTATAACATTAGGCACAAGAGTCATTGAGAACAAAGCCCTGATGTCAAAGGGGATCATGTGTCTGCTACCCAAATTGCTGACTAAGGCCATATGAACTTCACCTAAATCAGTCTATCTGAATGCCCAGTGTGCTTCTGTAAACCTCACAGCTTGCCAAGGGAGGCTGGGCTTGAACAAATTAGATGTGAAAATAGCCCTGAGCTGCTTTTTCAATAGCATTTAAACCCACAAAAGCCTCTGAATTCATACTGTTTGGAGATAGTCTTCTCCCAGAGATTGCCTAATTGATATAAATTTGTATGAAGACTCATTGAGGCCTTACTAGTATATCAATACATGATTGACTTAGTATATGACCTGCCAGTTTTAAAGCAGTTTCTGTAACAAGTCAGAGAAATTCCTCTATTTCAGAGGCTTAAAGATGCTCACTGGAGCTCAAGTCATGCATTTATTTGGATTTTCAGACCGATCAGCTACTCAGTTTGGGAGAGCAGCCCTGAACTCTTTCTGCAGCATAGTTTGTCTCAGCCCTCCTTTGGAGAAGTTTGCTATGGCTAATTCATCTTCAAATAGTGGGGAACAGCTATACAGCCAATACTCAAAGGAGAAAGGAAAGTTCCTTAGAATCATAGAAGATCAGGGTTGGAAGAGACCTCAGGAGGTCATTTAGTCCAACCCCCACACTTAGCAGTATGTCGTTCTTGAAGTACATGTATAGATCCACTCTCTCCATCCTCTTTCCTTATATTTTGGGAGAGCTTTGACATAGATTTTGATTAAGTGAACAGGAGTCAATGGTTTCGAGCTGCAGTTCCATGTTTGCTCTCATTCCAAACATTCAGTTCTGCAAAGGAACATGCACTCAAAATGGCCACTACTTTCTTGAGCATTCCATGAAGCAAATAGGCATGCAAGTTCCCAGAGTTTGGATCTATGCATATTGTATTAAACTACCCTTACTGGTAAGTACGCTTCATAGAGTCTTGTTAACTTTAGTACAGTGTTTACAAAACTTACTACTATCCAGAGTCTAGCGTAGATTCTCCATTTGTACCCTTTTAACATCACTCAGCAAGTTTAAATTCCTCCCCCTTTTGCCTTTTGTCAGCTGGCGACCTATCCAAGGCTATGTGAGGAAACGGAAAGGATTGTTGCTGGCCACATTCGAGACAGAGAGGAGAAGACCAAGGAACAGGTGGGAATAAACATGAAATCTGATGGGTCAGGAATTGAGAGTGATGAAGGACTTGAACCATTTTTGAAAAGCTTTAGCCATGGTAAATTGCTTGTGTTGAAAGTGTAACAGACATTGACGTATTAGATGTTGGAGAGGTGGGGAATGGAGAGAGGTTCTAGAGAAGGGAGGGAAGGAGAACAGCGCTGTTCCAAAGGCTCCTAATTTAGTCTGCCAGTCGCAAATGGGAGCAGAAAATGTAGATAACCTGCTGGTGGTGTAGAACTGGAGTAACAGCTCCTCTTCTAATCCCACTTGCAGACAGTGGATGGGACATGGCCAAGGAAAAGGGACAATCCCTTGCAACCATAATAACCCTCTGGGGCTACTGGCAGATGTCCTAATTTAAAACAGCCCTCTGGCTTCTCATGGAGCCTTGAGGAGCCTCGGACCTTATGGAGCTTGAAAGTGCTGCATGGTATCCTGTTCCCTTCCTCTCAGTCAATATTATAGGTGTTTACTCCAAGTCTTAATCACACAAGTTATTGATCTTGTGCCTCGGGGGAGCTTTTAATCAGCACAACCAAGTTTTCCAAACTTTGGAAGAAAAGGATACAGGTAACTTGGAATAACTGCTCCCATTTTTCATTCCTTGTACTTCTTCAGTGATTGCTCATGTGTATTCCACAATAGGTGTGCATGCTCGCCACGTGCACCGGTGCCAGAAGTTTTTCCCCTAGCAGTACCCATGGGGGGGGGGAGCGCCCCCGCGTCCCCTGGAGTGGCGTCTGCCTGGTGCGGTATAAGGGGAGCTGCGCGCTCCCACCACCCTCAGTTCCTTCTTGCCGCCAGTGAAGGTGAGTCGGAACTGCTCAGCTCCAGCTTTGCTGCAGCTTGTCCCCAGAACTGTTCGTCCATTCATTAGTACCTGTAGTCAGTTAGGTATTTCAGTTAATTTAGTTAGTTAGTGAGCCCGGGCCGGGGCATGCCCCGTGCCCTGGGATTTAAGTCGTGCGGCTCTTTTAGGCGTTCTATGCCAAGGAGTGACCCGCATGCGGACTGTCTGTGCTGCTTGGGAGAAACCCATATCAGCGAAAGGTGCAAGATCTGCAAGTCGTTCAAGCCCCGGGCCAAAAAAGAAAGGGACATTAGGCTCCGGGCCATCTTGATGGAGTCAGCGCTGGCCCCGACCCCGGCACACCGCTCCGAACCGGTACCCGGCACCGCAGTGTCTGTACGCGGAGACTCTCCGGTACCATCGACCAGTCAGCACCGCTCCCCATCCATGGGGCACACCAAGAGGACCGGAAAGGCGCCCTCTCCACAAGGGCACCGAGGGAAGTCTGGGACAGAGGCTAGCCCCATGTCGGGCAGCCCTCAATCCCCACCAGGCCCTAGGCCTCCGACTGATATTGAGCGGAGTAGCCTGGCCTCTTCGGAGCAGGCCTCTCCGGATGTCCAGATGCCATCTACGCCCAAAGCCCTCCAGGTTGCCAGCGATGTTATGTCCATGCTGGTGCCCAGAGCTCCGCCGATGTCGGCTTTCACGCTCCAGGGGCAAGCTGCCGCTGGGATCACTGCAGTCGCGGCCGGCTTGGTACTGGTCTCGGTCGAGGGAACATTCCTGACACCACTCATGTCCCAGCAACCGTTCAGGGCTCAGGCCATGTGAATTGTCCTAGACTCCGGCCAGACTGTTTGGATGGGTGCCGTCCGACCAGGACTCCGGGCACCGCTCATCTTCAGAGCAAAAATCGACGGAACCGTGATGGACGTTGCCAACTGGCCTCGTCTCGGAGGTACCACAATCGGTCGCAGCATGACCATCGACGCTCTTCTCGCTTGGACTCCCGCTCCAAGTCTCCGTTAAGGCACCGTAGCCCCGGGTGTCGATCACTGGCATCTCGCTGTCGTGGGTCTGCCCGTCGAGGCTGTTTGCGGAGCAACTACTACCGTCGGTGCCATTCCTCCACCTTGAGATCGCGGTCCCGTGGCCTACGTAGATCCCAGCACCGCTGCTACTCCCGGTGCAGAGGCAGCAGTGGGTTGTATGCCAGCCCAGCCTCCGCTCACAGCTGCCCGTCTACAGGCCAGGCTAGCCAGCCCGAACAGCCGGACCCGCCGGTGCGGTGCCTCAGCAAGTGCAATGGCACTGAGCGTTGTGCCGAGCCCAGTGGTACCAGTGGGTACCGGGGCCTCTGGTGCAGGCCCTGGTGGGGACTTGCTCGGTGGCCGGGGCGTCGGAAGCACTGTTGGCCTCCATCCCTAGACTGCCAAGAAAGAAGTCAGTGGGACCCATGTCCTCAGCACCGTGCCTGGAGTCCGACCAGGTGGTGGATCCTCTGGTGCTGGCTGACACCCAAAGTACCACACCAGCCTCCTCGCTCCGTCCGGAGGAGCTGATTGCGGCCCCGCCACCACTCCGTCCCGCAGGAGGACTATCGGGCCCACCAAGACCTCTTAAAAAGGATGGCAGCGAGCCTCCACCTCCAAGCAGAGGAGATAGAGGAGCCCTCAGACTCCCTGTTCAATGTGCTGTCCCCCTCGGCACCGGGCAGGATGGCCTTGCCGCTCCATGAAGGGGTGGCAAGAATTTAAAATGCCCTGTGGCAAACACCAGCCTCATTGGCTCCCATCTCTAAGAAGGTGGAACGCAAGTACTTTGTACCCACTAAGGGGCATGAGTGTTTGTATACCCACCTGGTGCCCAACTCCTTGGTGGTTGAGTTGGTCAACCACAGGGAACAGCAGGGGCAGCCAGCCCCGACCCCTAAGACCAAAGACTCTCGGAGGCTGGATATTTTCGGGAGAAAAGTTTATTCATCGTCAAGCTTCCAGCTAAGAGTAGGAAACCATCAGGCTCTCCTGGGTCGCTACGAGTTTAATCTCTGGGGATCCCTCCCCAAGTTCAAGGATTCACTCTCAGAGCACAATAAAAAGGAGTTTAAGGCACTCATGGAGGAAGGGGCAGCGGCCGCAAGGGCATCCCTGCAAGCTGCTTCGGATGCAGCGGACACGGCCGCACGATCCATGACCTCAGCGCTGTCTGTGAGATGAGCGTCCTGGCTCCTGCTCTCTGGGCTATCCAGCAAAGCGCAGTCGTCAATGCAGGATCTCCCTTTCGACGGGAATGCTCTGTTTGCTGAGGAAACAGACACAAGGCTGCATGGCATTAAAGACTCCCGCATGGCCTTCCAGACCTTGGGCCTCTATGTCCCTGCTCCTGCAAAACCCAAGTTCAAGCCACAGCAGGCTTCTGCCCAGGACGCCCTCCCGAAGTACGAGGCCACCCATAAGAAGCAGTAGGACTATAGAAAATGCCTGCAAAAGCAGTCTCGGCCTGCCCCCCAGCTTGGGCCCTCTAAGGGCAAGCAGGCAGGTAAAAGGCGTTTTTTGACGGGATGCTCGGGGGTACCTGGCCAGTTCTCAGCAGGGATCCACCCCCAATAAAGCTCCCTTTTTCCAATCGGTTGTGTGCTTTCCTCCCGGAATGGTCGTGGCTCACCTCGGACCGATGGGTCCTCAACACCATCTCCCAAGGTTACACCCTTCAGTTTGCCTCCTCCTTGCCCAACCCGCCCCCCCATCCCTCTTGGGGGACCCATCACACGAGGCTATGCTTGAGCAGGAGGTCGGGCGGTTCATGGAACTAGGAGCGATAGAGGTGGTGCCCAAGGAGTTCCTGGGCAAGGAGTATTACTCCCGGTATTTCCTTATCCCGAAGGCCAAAGGGGGGCTCAGGCCCATCATGGACCTGCGAGGTCTGAACCAGTACATGGTGAAACTCAAGTTCCGCATGGTTTCCCTGGCCTCCATTATCCCCTCTCTGGATCCCGGGGACTGGTACACTGCCCTCGATCTACAGGACGCGTATTTCCACATCCACATATTCGAAGGGCACAGGCACTTCCTCCATTTCGTGGTGGGACAGAATCACTACCAATTCACGGTCCTCCTGTTTGGTCTGTCCACTGCCCCCAGGGTCTTTACAAAGTGCATGTCAGTAGTAGCGGCCTACCTCAGGCACCGGGGGTCCAGATATTCCCCTATCTGGATGACTGGCTGGTCAAGGGCACCTCCTGATAGCAGGTGAGGGATCATGTGGCACTCCTCCTGTCCACATGCACCGCCCTGGGCCTGATGGTAAATAATACCAAGTCCACGTTAGTCCCGGTCCAACGCATAGAGTTTATTGGGGCGCTCCTGGATGCAATGTCGGCCAGGGCCTCTCTCCCCCCAGTTAGGTTCGAGACCCTGATAGGGCTCATCAACTCAATCGCAATGTTCCCGGTGATGACAGCCAGGGCTTGCCTGCAGCTGCTAGGTCACATGTTGGTGTGCAAGTATGTGGTCCACCACGCCAGACTCAGGATGAAGCCTCTCCAGCTCTGACTGGCCTTAAAGTTCTCCCGGTCACGGACAGAATGGGCAAGGTCCTCATCATGCCGAATTTGGTGATCACCTCCCTGCAGTGGTGGTCCGCCCCAAGCAACATGCTCCAAGGGGTCCCGTTCAGGGACCGGGCCCCATCGTTGGAGCTGGTGTCCCATGCATCGGACCTGGGCTGGGGGGCCCATGTGGGGAATTTTCAGACCGAAGGCCTGTGGTCTCTGCAAGACCTAACCCTTCATATAAACATCAAGGAACTCAGGGCGGTGCGACTGGCATGTATGGCCTTCCGCTCGCACCTGAAGGGCAAGGTAGTCAGGGTTCTTACGGACAACACAGCCTCAATGTTCTATATCAACAGGCAAGGCGGGGCCCGATCCTCTGCCATGAAGCCCTCAGTCTGTGGGACTTCTGTATAGCTCACGACATCCACCTAAAAGCCTTCTGCCCTCAAGCAGGTGAATCACTTGAGCAGAGACTTTTCCTCTCAGCACGAGTGGTCTCTACACCCGGAAGTGGCCCACCAGCTCTTCTGAAGGTGGGGAACTCCCCAGGTGGACCTATTTATGACCCGGCAGAACCGACGATGCCCCCGGTTCTGCTCCGGGGGGCCAATGGGAAGGGCACTATCTCCGATGCCTTTAGCCTGTCCTGGTCAGGCCAGCTTCTCTATGCCTTTCCCCCGTTCCCTCTGATCAGCAAGGTCCTGGAGAGAATAAAGATGGACAAAGCCAGGGTCCTCCTCATTGCCCCAGCATGGCCCAGGCAGCACTGGTATGGGACCCTCTCAGGCCTGGTGGTGGCTCTGCCATGGCCATTGCCGCTCCGCCCGGACCTGCCCTCTCAGGACCAGGGCCGTCTCCTCCACCCCAGCCTGGCAGTTCTTCACCTCACGGCATGGCTGCTCAGTGGCTAGGTGGCGAGGAAAGGACATGCTCAGAACAGGTTCAGTGCGTCCTCCTTGAAAGTAGACGACCCTCCACTCGCCGCTCCTACATGGCTAAGTAGTCTCAGTTTTCTAGGTGGGCGGCGGACCAAGGTGTGTCCCCAACAGCCGCCCCGATCCAGCTTATCCTTGATTACCTCCTCCACCTGAGGGCCCAGGGCCTGGCGCCCTCATCCGTCAGGGTGCACCTGGCGGCCATATTGGTGCAAGGACACACTGTGTTCTCCCATGCTATGACTGGCCGGTTCCTTAAGGGTTTGGACCAGCTTTACCTATATTCTAAGCCCCTGGTCCCACAATGGGACCTGAATCTGGTGCTGGCTTGTCTTACATTGCCTCCGTTTGAACGGTTAGCCATGTGTTCCCGGTCTCACCTCTCGTGGAAGGTGGCCTTCCTGGTTGCTATCACGTCGGCCAGGCGGGTCTCGGAGCTCAGGGCCCTGACCTCCGAGCCGCCTTATATGGTCTTTCATAAGGACAAGGGCCAGCTCCGCCCCACACCCCGCGTTCCTCCCGAAGGTGGTCTCTGGCTACCACATGGGTCAGGACATTTTTCTACCAGTCCTCTGCCTCAAGCCTCACATGACTAGTGAGGAGCACCGTCTCCACACGCTCGATGTGAGGTGGGCTCTTGCTTTCTACCTCGAGCAGAACAAGCCATTCAGAAAGTCCTCACAACTTTTCGCTGCCTCAGCTGAGCGCGCGAGAGGCCAGCCGATTTCCACTCAGCGGCTTTCCAACTGGATCACTTCGTGCATCTGCTCCTGTTATGAGTTGGCGTGTGTCCCCCCGCCGCCCATTGTGAGGGCGCACTCGCCTCGGGTGCAGGCCTCGTCGGCTGCCTTCGTGGCCCTCGTCCCTATACAGGATATTTGTAGGGTTGCCACATGGTCTTTGGTTCACACGTTCACCTCGCACTATGCGATGGTCTCCCAAATCAGGGATGATGCCGGGTTTCGGCAGGGTGGTACTCTGTCCTGAGAACTTGGGAACTCCTACCCACCTCCAGAAGGTATAGCTTGGAATCACCTATTGTGGAATACACATGAGCAATCACTCGAAGAAGAAAACACAGTTACCTTTTTGTAACTGGTATTCTTCAAGATGTGTTGCTCCTGTTTATTCCACATCCTGCCCTCCTTGCCGGAGTTGTCTGGCAAGAAGGAACTGAGAGTGGGGGGAGCATGCAGCTCCCCTTATACCGCGCCAGGCAGGTGCCACTCCAGGGGTTGCGGGGGGCACTCCCCCCCTACGGGTACTGCTAGGGGAAAAACTTCCGGCACCAGTGCACATGGCAAGCACGCACACCTATTGTGGAATAGACATGAGCATCACATCTCAAAGAACACCAGTTACGAAAAGGTAACTGTCTTTTCCCTTCCTCTCACGTGCCCAGAGATGAGGAGAAAATATCAGCTTCCTATGTATGTGAATTCAGAGAGCTTCTAACTTCTTTTTGTTCAAATTGTATGCAAATCTGACAGTGTCCAGGCACAGACAGTGATACATGTACCTATAATTTACTTATGCTGTTAACAATTACTGTATTAAAATTGGTCAGGCTAGTAGGGAGACATTCAGAAGGCCCAAGCCTGAGCCACTCAGCTTCCATTAAAACAACAAGGAGTCTGGTGGCACCTTAAAGACTAACAGATTTATTTGGGCATAAACTTTCGTGGGTAAAAACCTCACTTCTTCAGATGCATAGAGTGAAAGTTACAGATGCAGGCATTATATACTGACACATGGAGAGCAGGGAGTTACTTCGCAAGTAGAGAACCAGTGTTGACAGGGCCAATTCAATCAAGGTGGATGTAGTCCACTCCCAATAATAGATGAGGAGGTGTCAATTCCAGGAGAGGAAAAGCTGCTTCTGTAATGAGCCAGCCACTCCCAGTCTCTGTTCAAACCCAGATTAATGGTGTTAAATTTGCAAATGAATTTTAGTTCTGCTGTTTCTCTTTGAAGTCTGTTTCTGAAGTTTTTTTGTTCAGCTCCCATTGACTTTCAGTGGAAGTTGGGCTCCCCTCTGCCTTTTGAAAATCACCCCTTTGAGGAATAAAAAGAAAATATCTTTGTGGGGTACAGTGTTCTGGGAGCTCTGCAGTGGCAATTGTACAAATTTTTGGTGAAATGAAAGGGGTTTAAAAATAATATTGGATTTCATGAGAAAAACCAATTACACAAGAAAAGGAGCAAAATTGTGTCGTCTAGTGGTATAGGACTTGGTGAAGAGGATTGTTTGATGCAATGCCCAGGCACAATAAGGCATTCAGTAGTAAAGACTTTACTCAGAAGTAACTATTTTTCCATAGTGGTTTTTGTTGGATACAGAGAGATTGGTATCCTAGTAGGAAGGTCACATTACATTATTTTATCAAATTAAAACTCTTATTAGTTTTCTTTAATAGGGCCTATGCATCAAAGTATTCTTACCCACAGTGTTCTGGCAATAATAAGTTGTTGCCCCGAGGCATAGACTTGGAGAGGTTTTGATAATTATGCAGTTTTACACACTTAGGGGATGTCTACACTGCAGTTAAACACCTGTGACTGGCCCGTGCCCTCAACTCAAGAGGGTTTTGCTAGGGGAGGAGAGCCATGCAAAAAACCTTTCCCCTTCTTTGCGTGGTTGAGCAAGGGCCTTCTATTGTAGCAGTCCCTGCATTCCTCAGAGCACAGGGATGGTTCATTCCTGATCCCTGCTGGGGAGCAAGCATCTGAAAAGATGGCAGGAGGAAAGCGGGGTCATGTCTGCACTGTCCTGGCACACACTTTAGGAAGGCTGCAGGAGGGTGGTCTTTTCTTTGTGTGTATTAAGATATTTCCAGGTTAAATTGATCATGATGTTTCAGTACAATTATCCATCTGAGACACCAACAAATCAACAGATCAAGGCTACTCAAGTAGCAAGCTGAAACCTCTGTTTTGCTAAACTGTTCATTTTGTTACTTCACCCACCAGCCCACCCCTGTTAGTTTCATCCACCTGTTTTATCCTGTCCAACACTTCAACTGTAAGGTCATTGGGCAGACTTGTTACATGTTTGTACAGTGCCTAACACCATAGAGCCCTAATTCTTCATAGAGGTTCCTGACTAGCCTGGTGTAGTAATAGTAGCAATAAGAGACCAAATATTGCCTATCCTGCAAAATATAGTGCTAGAATCTGTGATATGTATTAAACTCCCCTTTGGCTAGATATGGTTAGTCTTAATTAAATTTTACAGAAGCTGATAATGAGGCAACTGTAAGAAAGCTGAGGGAGGTAGTTGACTGATAGTTCCATTATAGCCTAGTTTGCTAAATAAGTAAAGAAACAAGATTTGATTTAGTAGGTAGTACTGCTTTTGGCCAGAATTATTATAAAAGACAATATTCAATAATGCAGCAAACTCAAATTTTCTTTTTCCTTTTTTCTTCCTGGTAGGTACTGCTGCTAATTGATATCCAGGTATCTTACATCAATACCAACCATGAAGACTTCATTGGCTTTGCAAAGTATGTATACAGAGACTTTATTATACAGATCCACTGTTAATTTAAGGAAAAAATAGCCTGAATCATTTAGAATGGTGGAGATGCCTACTGCCAACCTCGAGACATGCAAATAGCGTGTAATGCGGTTCACTGTTCACTGTTGGGCACCTCCTGGTGGTTCATCTGGGGATTAGCTCTTGACCAGTCTGATGCCCTGTATGCCTTCAGTTGCGTACCCTGTAGTGTGTCTGTCTCTCTGTCTCTGGACTCAGGTTACTTCCTCCTTCGTGACTCAGGGTGCTCCCTCTTCATGGCTTGGCCCTCTGGCCAGGTCACTATAGTAGTTCTTCTGTGGTATCAAAGTCCCACTGGACGAACCATCTCAGACAGTCTTTCAGTCCACTGCCCCAACTGTGCCACTTCCCCAGTGGCTGGCAGTGGAACCCAGGCCCATCCACTGCTCCAGGTTCCAGCTAGGGACCCTAAACCCAGCAACCGCAGTCTGTGCAAGCTTGAACCCTGTTGCTCTTTCCCTGGGCTCTTTCCTACCTCTCTTCTGTCTTCTGCCCTGCCCTCTTTTGGTCACCACTGGAGCTTCCTCTGCTCCGTGTGGCGATTTCACCCCTTCTCAGGTTGTTGCCAGCGTCTGTATTCTCAGGCAGGATCCCTGGGCATACTTCTCCTGGGATTCCTCCTTGTCTTTTGCTAATTGCCATCATCTCTAGGGAGTGGCACCCAGTTCTTTCCTGCTGCCCCCTCTTGCTCTCTATTTCCTGGTTTTATACAGCTCAGCCTGCCCCTGCCCTGTTGGGCTTTATCTCCTTCATCTCCTCAGCTCAGCCGGCCCTGACTCTCCTCCAGGGGCAGCCTGCCATGGGGATAATTGGCCTTTTTTTCCTACTCAGGCCTAGTGTGGTGTGGACACCCCATCACATAGAGGCTCACCCTCAGGACACTTAATACTTGACTGTGCCCCCTACTGTAGGTCTAGACTGGATTCTCTTGCTTTGTCCTAGTCTGACTTCAGGGCTCACTGGAAATGCATCTCTTGACCTGGAACTGCGTCTCTCACCTTCTATAGAATCATAGAAATGTAGGGCTGGAAGGAACCTCAAGAGGTCTCAAGTCCAGCCCAGCCTAGTCTCTTGACCTTGAACTGTGTGTCTCTGGAGAAAGCTTTTGATGCACAGATGCCTTTGGTGCAGCCGTTACTGGTAGCATTGGTGCACAGTTGCTAATACAGATTTTAGCAGCATTGATTTAGTACTCACTACACTGCCTGCTTAGGATGACAGTGACACTGCTGAAAACGAGCAAGACTGCTGTTTGGATACAGAGGATAATAGTAGCAGAAGCCAAGAACTATCTCTGAGGGAAGAAGAGCAAGATAATTCTCTCCAGTATGGGCTGATCCTTTTTTCCATTTAATTGAACAGATTAAGATTTCTTCTTTTGATGTGCAGACAATCCAGGAAAACCCCAAGGCTGTGATTTTGAGGTGTTTGGCCTCATTTCCCAGATGATGTAACAAGTGCCCCTCTTCCATCTTAGGCTTGACCAGTTGGTGAGGTTTGGCAGCAGCTTCATACCACTCTGGATGTCTCCAAGATGGTTATTGGAAAATGGAGGGATATGCTCAGATTATTTCTCCCTCCCTCTCCAAAAGATTATGGTGATGGAGGCAGCCGCAATCATGATAGTGCCATAGCATGACTCCAGAGGCTAGGATCCCTTGGACACAGATTTTTTCAATCTGGGATATTGTCAGCTCACATTGGGAACAGCAGTATGTGTTCTATATGGGAAAACACCAGTTCAAGCTGTGGAAGAAGGTTTGCACTGTGTACCCCCCACCTCCAAGGGTGTGGAGCAAAGAGTTTGTAAGAAACTGACTTGTGAAGGAGTGGAGAAAGCCAGGGTGTGGCTATCCTTTGGTGATACAACAATGGGGACAGCTGTCTATGCCACTGATGCTTGCGGACACATTGTTGCATTTAGTAGGCCTTGGCTTTGTGTGATGGTTTCACCAGAAGTTTCAGGACCATGAAACTTTGAAGATGGGGGAAAATGGATGTTAGTCTTATGAAAGCTGAGATAATTAAATCTGTCCCTCATTCTCTCAGGTTATCCTCCCCTCCTCCTCCTCCTCTTTCTTTTATCTTCTAAGGAAAGCACCTGCCAAGAAACCAGCACATACATATGCTCTGGATTCTGCGGTGCCCAGTGCGTGCAAAGTCAGTTCACTTTGCCTTCCTTCTGGAAGAAAACTCTAGGTTTCTGAATTCTGGAGTGACTAGCCAGCCTGTCTTGTACTCCCTTACTATTAGAGCAAGACTAGAGTCCATTTATCATGCAAGGCCCTTCTTGGACACGCACGACTCAGAATTACAAATTTCTCCCTTCCAGAATGTGCTGTAATTCAGCATCCTGAAGAGAAGCTGCAGTAAATCTAATCCCTTCTGACAAAAGGATGTCATTGAGCCTGTGCTATTGGTCAAAAGAAAGGGAGTATTTGAGCCTGTTCTGAATGTTAAAGACTTCCATTGGTAACCGGTTAAGGGAAAATTCAAAATTGGGTTTTAGAGATCAATTGTACCTCTCCTAGAGGAAAGGGATAGCTATGAGCTATAGTTGGTGGTAGTGCCTATGTATTTACACTGATAGAACTGTGTATTTTTTCTCTTTCTGGATATTTGGATAGCAATCTGGAAGGGATATAAGAAGCAGTGCCTCTCAATTGGTATGTTGGTGCCACTAGGGCTTAAGATAAACTAGTCAATGTCCCAACTTATTCCCAGAAACCAGTTGGAGTATACAAGAGCCTTACATGACACAGCTCAACTCAAAGCCTTCTTGCTCTGGAATAGGGTCCAGGACATAAGGGAAAGGATTTTCAGAGCCAGCCGGATCAGCAAGAGCCATGCAGCAAAAGATTGGCCTGATAGCTACAATGGTTATATGTCAATGAAGTCTTGATTTCAAATTTTCTCCATTGCAAAACCGAGTGACCATGTATATTTGTTCCTGGGATGGGGAGCTGACATGAAGGGCCACCTCTTCCAACATCCTTGGTCTTCAGGAATAGCAGCTGCACGTGAATGTTCTGGAGGTGAGGGTAGTCCTGAATGCTCTGAAGACCTTTAGGTAATGTTTATCACAAAAAGTAGCAGAATCTTTCCTCTTGTATTTGGAAGCCCTGAAGATACAGGATTGGGCAGTGTTCCACAAAACACATCTGGTGGCAACTTATGTGGCAGGAATGAAAAAGTGAATTGCAGACAGCCCATGTCAATCAGTAGTGGACATATGAGTGCAGCCTTAGATAAGAAAGTAGTGGACCATAGGAAGTATGGCAAGAGACTACCCTAGATTAACTAGGAGATCTTGAGATTGGCAGAGGCCCTGGAGGTTTTTCGTCTTCCTCCGCAGCATGGGGCAGGGATCGCTAGCAGGAGGATTCTCTGCTAATTGAAGTCTCTAAGCCACAGGATTTGGGGACTTCAACAGCAGAGTAAAGGGAAAGGGTAGGGACGGCTTTGTGGCCTGCATCATGCGGGAGGTAAGACCAGATGATCATAATGGTCCCTTATGACCTTAAAGTCTATGAGTCTATCTTCATTGATCTGAAACTCAAAAAAGAGTCCTACAAAAAGTGGAAACTAGGTCAAATTACAAAGGATGAATATAAACAAATAACACAAATATGTACGGACAAAATCAGAAACACCAAGGCACAAAACAGGATTAAACTAGCTTGAGACATAAAGAGAAAGATCAAGGACAGGGTAGGCCCCTTACTCGATGAGGGGGGGAAACAATAGCAGAAATTGTGGAAATGGCAGAAGTGCTAAATGACTTTTTTGTTTGTTTTCACTAAAAAGTTCATGAGCAGTTGGACATCTAACTTAATGAATGCCAGTGAAAATGAGGTAGGATCAGCAGCTAAAATAGGGAAAGAACACGTTAAAAACTATTTAGACAAGTTAGATGTCTTCTAATCACCAATGCCTGATGAAATATGTCCTAGAATACTGACTGAGGAGATATCTGAGCCATTAGTGATTATCTTCAAAAAGTCATGGAAGATGGGAGAGATTCCAGAGGACTGGAAAAGGGCAAATATAGTGCCAATCTATAAAAAGAGGAATAAGGACAACCCAGGGAATTACAGACCAGTCAGCTTAACTTCACTAGCTGGAAAGATAATGGAGCAAATAATTAAGCAATCACTTTGCAGATACCTAGAAGATAATAAGGTGATAAGTAAGTCAGTATGGACTTGTGAAGAATAAATCATGTCAAACCAACCTAATAGCTTTCTTTGACAGGGTAAGAAGCCTTGTGGATGGGGGGAAGCTATGGATGTGGTATATCTTGACTTTAGTAAGGCTTTTGGTACTGTCTTGCACGATCGTCTCATAAACAAACTAGGGAAATACAGCTTAGCTGGAGCTACTATAAGGTGGATACATAACTGGTTGGAAAACCATTCCCAGAATGTAATTATCAGTGGTTCACAGTCCAGAATGTAATTATCAGTGGTTCACAGTCAACCTGGAAGGGCATATCAAGTGGAGTCCCGCAGGGATCAGTTCTGGGTCTGGTTCTGTTCAATATCTTCATCAGTGATTTAGATAATGGCATAGAGAGTACACTTATAAAGTTTGCAGACAATACAAGTTGGGAGGGGTTGCAAGTGCTGTGGAGGATAGGATTAAAATTCAAAATGATCTGGACAAACCGGAGAAATGGTCTGAAGTAAATAGGATGAAATTGAATAAGGACAAATGCAAAGTACTCCACTTGAAATGACTGCCTATGAAGGAGTACTACAGAAAGGGATCTGGGGGTCATACTGGATCACAAGCTAAATATGAGTGAACAGTGTAACATTACTGCAAACAAAATCAAACATCATTCTGGGATCTGTTAACACAGTGGTCACCAACCAGTTGATTGTGATCAACTGGTCGATCCTGGAGACTCTCCCGGTTGATTGTGCTCTCTGGTGGCATAGCGGG